AAATTCGATCAAATACGCATTGGGGACACCCACTTTTACGACCCATTGTCTCGGTAGTTCTTTATGGCTAGGGATTATAAACGGAACCCTAACGTATAGCTTTTGGATAGTACTACAAAGTGAGGGTAAAGAATCCTGGTGTAAGCATTCTTAAAGGCCGGAAATGTCGTCCGTAACACGGAAAAAAAGTCAAATTTGATAAAATACGCATTGGGGTCACCAACGTTCAAACCCATTGCCTCGGCAGTTCTGTATGACTAGGGATTATATACTCTGCTTTAATGAATAGCTATTGAATAGTACTACAGGGGGAGGGTAAAGAATTTCTGGGGTAAGCATTTACCTCCGAAAATGTCGTCCGAAACATGGAAATAAAGCCAAATTCGATCAAATACGCATTGGGGACACCCACTTTTACGACCCATTGTCTCTGTAGTTCTTTATGGCTAGGGATTATAAACGGAACCCTAACGTAGAGCTATTGGATATACAACAATGTGAGGGTAAAGAATTTCTGGGGTAGGCATTCCTAAAGGCCGAAAATGTCGTCCGAAACATGGAAATAAAACCAAATTCGATCAAATACGCATTGGGGACACCCACTTTTACGACCCATTGTCCCGGTAGTTCTTTATAGCTAGGGATTATAAACGGAACTCTAACGTATGGCTATTGGATAGTACTACAACGTGAGGGTAAAGAATTTCTGGGGTAAGCATTCTTAAAGACCGGAAATTTCGTCCGTAATACGAAAAAAAAATCAAATTTGATAAAATACGCATTGGGGTCACCAACTTTCCAACCCATTGCCTTGGCAGTTCTGTATGGCTAGGGATTATAGACTCTGCTTTAATAAATCGCTATTGGATAATACTTCACCGAGAGGGTAAAGAATTTCTGGGGTAAGCATTCCTAAAGGCCGAAAATGTCGTCCGAAACATGGAAATAAAGCCAAATTCGATCAAATACGCATTGGGGTCAACTACAACGGGATAGTACGCCATATGTAAAATTAGTTTATGATTTCTTAGCTTGCCATACATTAATACAAAAAAATAAACCCACCATCTATTGGATATTTTCCATAGATTTGATATCAGTTCTTTTTTGGTGTATCCATTGCAACAACCTGCATGTATTAGCTAAACCATATTGCAAAAAGGGGGGTACAGATGTCACATATTTCCCCACAATTTGGCCAAAAGTAGAATTTTAATCCCTTGGAGTGATACCTTTTCTGAAACTGGTTAAAGTTTTTTGTCTCATTTTAGGTGAAGTCGAAATGGACTTTAGGTTTGCTGTCTGTCTGTCTGTCTGTCTGTCTGTCCGTCTGTCCGTCCGGTCGACCTTTGGGTTTGATTGTTCCTTTTGTATCTTTTACTTCTCTTTTAAAAGTTTAACCCTCCTTTCAAAAGTACCGACAATTTGTACAATGAGGAATTTTTGCGGGGTTAATCTTTTGTACAGTTAAAAAAAAACAGTGACAATATACTTTTGCGGAAGCAAAGTTATGAGAGTTTATATGGACCACAAATCAAACAGGTTGGCGTTGATCGGGAAATGATCGGATATCAGTCGCGCAAAGGTCGAGATGATCGAGTACTGATCGGTTAAATATTTGTATTTCGACCAAACTCGATCTCTACACAATCCTTCCCCGTTCAATTCGACCGCTTCTCGACGAATTCCCGATCTCTTCTCGAGTAACTGGCTTCTCGATCCTTACTCGATTTTTTTCGACATGTCAAAAATTCTCGGGTAGAAAGTCGGATCGATGACGAGCAAGGTAGACAACCCCGAACATTCTTGTCGATTGAGTCAAACCAGTTTACCGATCACTTAATCTGTTTTGATAGGGCTCGGTCGAGTTTATCTAATCGGCAGTGCGAACCTATAGCTTGAGGAATGTTTACTCCAAAAGATCTACTAGTATTATATATAAATGAAGTTTTATCTAATAACTTTTTCACGATTTTCATTTTGACAGTCATACTGTGAAATGGCCTTCCATACTCTCGGCATCCTGTAAAGTAGTTCCAAACAAACAACAATATGTATATGTTTAAAAAGTTACTGAAACTATCTGTATTATAGCAAATGTGTTGTAAAACAAAACTGAAAGAGTGCATTACGCATTTTTCTTGCAAGCGGCTTGCGCTTGAATATAATAAGGTAGTGGGTTTATTTTTTGTAATTAATGTATGGCAAGCAAAGAAATCATAAACTAATTTAACTTATGGCGTACTCTCCCGTTGTAGTTGATCCCAATGCGTATTTTCGACCTTTAGGAATGCTTACCCCAGAAATTCTTTGCCGTCTCGTTGTAGTACTATCCAATAGCTATTTATTAGAGCATAGTCTATAATCCCTAGCCATACAGAACTGCCGAGGCAATGGATTTGAACAAGTGGGTGACCCCAATGTGTATTTTATCAAATTTGACCATTTTTCTGTGTTACGGACGAAATTTTCGGCCGTTAAGAATACTTACCCCAGAAATTCTTTACCCTTACGTTGTAGTACTATCCAATAGCTATTCATTAGGGCAGGATCTATAATCCCTAGCCATAACGAGCCATAACGAACTACCGGGACAATGGGTTTGAAAGTGGGTGGCCCAAATGCGTATTTGATCGAATTTGGCTTTATTTCCATGTTTCGGACGAAATTTTCGACCTTTAGGAATGCTTACCCCAGAAATTCTTTGCCGTCTCGTTGTAGTACTATCCAATAGCTATTTATTAGAGCAGAGTCTATAATCCCTAGCTATACAGAACTGCCGATGCAGTGGATTTGAACAAGTGGGTGACCCCAATGTGTATTTTATCAAATTTGACCATTTTTCTGTGTTACGGACGAAATTTTCTGCCGTTAAGAATACTTACCCCAGAAATTCTTTACCCTCACGTTGTAGTACTATCCAATAGCTATTCATTAGGGCAGGGTCTATAATCCCTAGCCATAACGAACTACCGAGACAATGGGTTTGAAAGTGGGTGGCCCCAATGCGTATTTGATCGAATTTGGCTTTATTTCCATGTTTCGCACGAAATGTTCGACCTTTAGGAATGCTTACCCCAGAAATTCTTTGCCGTCTCGTTGTAGTACTATCCAATAGCTATTTATTAGAGCAGAGTCTATAATCCCTAGCCATACAGAACTGCCGAGGCAATGGATTTGAACAAGTGAATGACCCCAATGTGTATTTTATCAAATTTGACCATTTTTCTGTGTAACGGACGAAATTTTCGGCCGTTAAGAATACTTACTCCAGAATTTCTTTACCCTCACGTTGTAGTACTATCCAATAGTTATTCATTAGGGCAGGGTCTATAATCCCTAGCCATAAAGAACTACCGAGACAATTGGTTTGAAAAGGGGTGACCCAGTTTCAAATAGAAGTTCTATTGTCGGGTATACCATGAAAAAATTTATTTGACAGCAAAATTTTAATTCTATATTTTAAGTCGTTAATATGAGTTTCGAAAATCGCAAATGTGGATTAAACATGCGTTAATACGAATCACATCCTGGACTTAACAGATAATACTTTGTTTTTTTTATTTTTTATATTGTAAATTCTCATTACAAAACCGTAAATATGAGTTAGAAATCTGCAAAGTAAATTTAGCATTTTATTAATGGGATATAACAATCTTTGATTTTTTATATAAATCTTGTTTTCGAACAAAAAAGTCAAAAACTATGACTTTAAAGAAAAAGAAAATTGTCGCTCAAGTAGTTTTCCAAACGCAATTGCAGGATGACGAATTGCAGGATAGCTTTTTATAAAGAGAATTGCAGGATGAGAATTGCTGGATAGCTTGACACTAGTCAACATAGTTTGTGTCTTTGTCAAGTCAGATACTTTATCAGTGATTGTCTTTGGTCATATCTTAACGATGGTGTTTGTTAAACTTTATCTCCAGTCCAAGAGTCCAGTCCAGTCCCGTCAAAATATTACACTTTTCTTTTTATACGGTCAGTCGACGAGCTAGCTGTAGGAATTATCTGTGATATAACTGATTAACGTTATATGTGTATAATGTGGTATTGAATTCCAATAGTCGCATGTTAGACTGTCTTTTTTTGTTTTTTTTCGGCATGGTCCAACATTTGCTATAAATGGGCATTATTAAACAGCAAAATAAAATTTCATTATTAAAATGGTTGATTCACATGACAAATATAGGATATCATGATAAAGAAGCGCATTTAATGTGCAGAAAAAGGAAACCGATTACCAGTTTTACAGTCCAACAGTGGTTGATGTTGTCTGTTGTACAGTCTAGTATTTCTGGTTATTTCGGTTATCCTTTTAATGTAATATTATATTGATTAACACATCTGATGATTAATATGATAACATTGTGGCAAATGACATCTTACTTCATATTTCTTGTTCATTTTTTTAATAATAACATTTTTACGGCAATGCAGATTTCTAGAACAAATAATGTCCGTCCTTCACATTGATATCTACAATTTTTTTTATAGTAATTTTTTCACGGATTTCTAGAGCAATCTTTTTTTATTTAATCTTATTCAGCTTCAAACTTCTAATATACATTTTACATTGAAAGAGGGAATGGTCTCCCCTCGACCAAGGTTCACTATTTGTTTGATTCTTTCATCTTCTTAACCATCTTTCATTTGATATGTAGATAATCTTGAAATTAATACATGCCATTAAATGTTGCTTCTGATGTTCTATAATAAATCAAAATACATTATACTGTGCAAATAGTGACATGTCATCTTTGTGATAAACTGAAGATACAATCAAATACTATTTGCCTGTTACGTAAAACGGTCTCTCTGTTTTGTTTTCAATTCGAATTTAATTATTAGTTTTGCTGCTATTTATAGGAAAAGCGTAGCATTTTATTCCAGGTTCGAAGCAATGGTATAAATTTGCTTCTTATTCATGCAAAATGCTTTCTTAATCAGTGTCAAAAGATTCTTATTGATCCGTTTTCATCAAATGAAGAATTTTATCGGTATATCTCCTGAACTGAACCTCATCATAGAATGATCGATTTTCTGCTCTCTAATATTATATCGTCTGCTTTATCTTTGTCCTTGTCCTCAAGATGGCTAACCAAGCAGACGTTATTGTGGTCGGAGCTGGTTTAAGTGGTAAGTACATTAGTATTCCAGTTATTTTTAAAGTATTTATGTAAACATACGATTTTCTTTTTTTGATTGTATTGTAGCAAGGTTAAATGCATTGCTTAATTTAGTTAACGATTGATTTATATAATCTCTGTTATTGACTCACATTCTTTGTTTGTTTATTTTATTGGACATTACATAAACAATGTTTTGTTATTGGTCAAGAGGAAAATAAGAGTGATGACCTTTAATTCATTATGCGGCATGTATAATTTTCGACTGATTTTTTATTTTGAAATTGTTCAGCGGAAATGCAGAAACAATCGATACTTATAAAAAAGAATCACATGTGGACGAATTAGAAATGAAACTCATGATTTAAATTAACTTTTTGGCAAACTCCCAACAAGGAGTGATATATCATGTACTTCGGAAGGGTGAGCATATCATACAAACTTATGCGATAGCCTACATATCACGTTGAGGTAATATCTTATAATGTGTTTAATTCGGTCAAAAAAGTGATTCATTTATGCCATTGACGGCAATATGTCCACCATCATTATATTACACGCATATCAACCAACTAACTATGGCCAATATAATAATAGTTTCTAGTGGTGACATTTGTTAAGGTTATTAGTCCCCTACCGACGAAGTCGAAGGGGACTTTAGGTTTGCACTCTGTCCGTCTGTCCGTCCGTCTGTCCATCCGTCAGTCCGGCAAATCAGCTTTCCACAATTTTTTTCTTCGTTCTTGAAGATATTGATTTGATATTTGGTATATAGTTTTGCCATGACAAGTTATAGATCAAGTTCGAATTTTGTTCCGGTCTGATGATTTAGTCCAGAGTTATGGACCATAACTCTGGACCATATCTAATGTAAGAGTACTATGTTAAATCATATTTCTGTACAAAGGGAGATAACTCATTTTTTAAAAGACATTCTTTGGTATATTATTTGAAGAATTTTTTGGCAGGTTTGCTTGTTATTTTGTATAAACTAATTTTCGGAATGCTATATATATATAAAAAAAATTATGAAGTGAAATCCTTTAATTAGATAATAATCTATTTTTATTAATGTATGTATTACATTACATTGTGTGGATAAAAATTGTTGACATTTTATAGATAAGTTACAAATCTATATTAGTTTGTGACAAATAAAAGAAAAAATATTTGATTATAATTTGAAAATAGATATACACTGTATTACATCATATCTAATTTTATAGAACTATTAATCATATCTAATGTTAAAGTGTTTTCCACACTTTTTTTCATCATGCTTGAAGATATTGATTGATAATTGGTATATAATTTTATCATGACAAGTTATACAGATCAAGTTCGAAATTTTGTTTCTGTCTGAAAATTTTGTGAAGAGTTGTGGTCCTTGGACTTGAAAAATTCAATCATTTAATCAGTTTTCCACACTGTTTTTAGTCATGCTTGAAGATATTGACTTGATATTTTCTTTTTGTTTACACCATGACAAGTTATAGAACAAGTTAGCTTTTTGTTCCAGTATAATGAATTTTTACCCGGTAGGGGACTATGTATTGCCATGCAATACTCTCAGAATGCTTGTTTATATGACAGTGATTGTACTCTTTCATTAAATAATGTGAATGGTATAGACAGAAATTCGTCAGAGGCCAACCAGCTATGATATGCATACACTTCTATTTTTAATGTCTACATTAAAAGATCTAATGACAATCAATAGTCCACAAAACACTGAACAGAAAACTAAGTTACATAATAGATTAGTTTCATTTTTGTTGTTTTTAAGATGGGATCATGCCCTTGTATGAAATCGGTCTCGTCTGGAAAAAGGGGGAATAAGAGGAGCACAGGTTTTCTATCATTTCAGTGACACTAACCATTAACTTACCGACTAAACATAATCTTCAGATTTCTTTTTGATCGAATATGTGTGGTGTTTTTGTTTTGTTTTGTAATACATTACCTTTTTTCTCTTCCTAGTACAATATATAAACATCTGGTTCACGAGGTTCAAAAATAGATTACTACATTATATCAGGGATGTTCAAGGTCATTATTCCATGATGTGCATATACTGAAAATCTAGGTCATGGTTACCAGTTTAAAGTAAAGGATAATCGACTTCCTTTAATCGGAATACACCCCTTGATTAATAATGGGGTAAAGCAGTGGTCACTGCTAATTATGAAGCACGTTATGTAACAGGATAAGACAAACAAACTATTTATTGGTATAAATATTGATTTTGTTATCAGTAAATTAAAATCATACTAAATAGTATTGTTATACACATATGCACTTTAACGGCACTGTTTTTCTCTGGCTGTTAATGACGTCTTTACATTAAATCCATTGGATGTTGGTTGTGTACTGATTGATATTTTTTCTTAGATACATGATTTTTTTAGTAGTTGTTATTAGCTTTGAACTAGCTGTCAGTAACTGCGAGTACTCTCAGATCTGTACTTAGTGTCCTCTTTGTTGTTAGGGATGAGGGATGGATAAATGCGTCCGGTCTGTGTTTTTGTTTGATTGTTCTGCTTTGTATCGATCTGATGAGTCTTGCCTTTTTCAACTGATTTTTATAGTTTGTTCTTATGTTGTGCTGTTTCACCACTGTCCCGGGTTAGGGGGAGGGTTGAGCGCTCACAAACATGTTTAACTCCGACACATTTTTTATGTGCCTGTCCCGAGTCAGGAGCCTGTAGTTCAGTGGTTGTCGTTGGTTCATGTCGGTCATATTTGTTTTTCTAAATTGTTTTGTTATAAATTTGGCTGTTAGTTTTCTCAATTGAATTGTTTCATATTTTTTATGTCGGGGCCTTTTATAGCCGACTAAACGGCATGGGTATTTCTCATTGTTGAAGGCCGTACGGTTGCCTATAATTGCTTACATCCACTTCATTTGAACTTTGGTGGATATTTGTCTCATTGGCAATCATACCTCATCTCCTTATTTTTATATCGATTCCGTCTTAACACATTGGTACTTTTTAATCCATCATAATGTACTTTAGGATTTTACACGTATAGTCCCTAGAATTTACTTTTATAATCAAAGTTTTGTTTAAATGCTGATAATTTGATAATGTCGGTTTTATGTCAAACTGTCGGTATCACGACAACATCAAAAGAATCGCTAAAGCAAGTGGAAGCGATCGATTCTGATGTAATTTGTAATCTTATTTTTCATGGAGAAAACAGAGAACGTGAGCTCGGAAGCAGTCGAGATATTTTGCATATTTACAAAAAAATAGCAAATGAGGCTAGGCGTATTTTAAAATAGAATTCTATTCATGTATTCATGGTTATATTTTTTTCTTTAAACGTTCATTTTTAGCAGTCTTTGAACACTCTAGATGATTGAGTGTTTGAAAATACAGCTTTTAATGGGTATTTTTTACATACACTACGTGTTAAATTGGAAAGATACATAATCCCGCATAGATTAACCTTCCCTCTATTTTCCTTCCGTACAAATGCATAAAAAGCATAAAGTACTAATATATATATATAAAATGACTGAATAATAGCCAACCATAAATCTTACGGGGCGATGGATCATATAATTATGATACAGTACACTACAAAATATAATATATAACCAGTCTAAAAGGGTACATTACCAAAAAATAACAATAAAATGAACAAATGTAACTATAAATATTTCTGATAACAGATATCCTTCATCAGTATGATCATGATGTAAAATGAATCTTATCAACCTATTCTGATTTTAAAACTATAGCAATCTTGAATTCTATACAAAAAAAAAACAGTTTTACCAGAACATCTTAGAGACGCTAGTACAATTCTAAAATTTCCAAACACGACGCAACGACATACCTAAAATAAAAATAATAATAATTTGCGATATGAGCTTGCACAACTTTAAAAGTCCAAAGGTGACGACAGTTAAGATGTTACAACAACTGCGTGGAAATACATTCCCAATAAACAGCACTGACCGATCTCAGCTTGTATAATATTTCAAATTTGACAACGGTAGAGTTATTAAAACAGAGGCTGCGTATTTAAACACCCCAAATAAATAGCAGTTTGATAATGATAAGAAAAATAATTGAACGTGACTGCGTACTATTACATCCATTCCAAATGAGTAGAACCCTGTAATTAAAACTTTTATAATCAAAAAAATTCCTTAAAAATGTAGGAGTCTAGTACAGAAGCCGGAGTTACTGGAAACAAGTGATGGCAGGAAAATAAGTGATAGGAAAATGAGTGATGGTAGGGAAAATGAGTGAAACATTCTATGTTTTTTCATTTATGCCCTATGGGGAAACTGTCCTTATCTTTCTTATCCAAAACCTTTCCCGATCAACCATTAAAGGTGAAATTGTTGCATTTCAGAACCAGTGTAAGCAGCTGGACTAAACATTCGGTAGGTGGTTCTGAAGTGTTGCTCGAGTCCCATGATAAACGGGATCCGTCCTAATTGGCAAATCATTGCCAAGCACCCAAAATTATCCAAGATCTTTCCCAATCCTCCTGTCTTAGCTTTTCGAAGACCGGCAAGTCTGAAAGACTTATTTGTGAGAGCTGACGTCTCCTCTAATAAAAGCGGTTCAACTGCAGGATGGTGCAAGTCGTGTGGTAACAGACGATGTCTGACTTGCCAACAAATATTAAATACTCAAACATTTACTTGCCACTCGACTGGGTCTGTGTACACTATATTTTGTAATGTACTTGCAAAACCCAAAATGTTGTATACCTTCTTGAGTGTCGATGTGGCATGCAGTATGTTGGCGAGACAGAAAATCCATTCAACAAACGCATGAATGGTCATCGAAGTGACTACACCTGCAAGCCCGACTTCCCCGTAAGTCGTCATTTGATATCAGCTGGGCACGCCCAAGCTGATCTAAAAAACCTTACCATCACAATCATAGACCACAATGAGGGTTGGTCAAGGGCCGACAGACTTGATCGGGAAAGGTTTGGGATAAGAAAGCTAAGGACAGTTTCCCCAGAGGGCATAAATGAAAA